TATATATATAAAAAATATTATTAGAAAATCTTTCGAAAAGTATATTTTCATTACCAAAATATGCGATTTACGAAATACGTTTCAAGACGTAAGAATACATCAATACTTTTACAAAATCGTTTGATTAAAAAAGAATATAAAATAAAAAATAATCTTTCTCACTCAAAATATTTGTGTCAAAAATCATGTATAGTTGAAATATGTATTTGCCCAGTTCTGGAATCCGAGAGATTGGCTTTATAATTTTTCAGTATTGATAATATTCTAGAATGAATTCACGCGAGAGCACTCGCTGATTTTACATACATTAGTACGTATCTATATATTAACTCATTAAGAGAGTTATGTGTTTTCGGATGTAACTAGATTCTAACAATAATACAAAATATTATTCGCCCAATACCGACGTCCAAAGAGTGCGAAGGATTAAGTCTATACCTCTAATTGTCACGATGCGCACAGAGAACTTTACGTGGGCATACATAGCTTCATCGCGAAATGTGTGGGCGATATAAAGAAAGAAAAAAAAAAAGTTATAAGAACGAAGGAAGAATCGCGGGCTACGAAACTTTCAAGACGAAAATGTAACTTTCGTCGCAAGTTCCGGCTTGCTGCACCTGAAGAAATATCGGAGAGTAGGCGTTACACTTTTCTCTATCCTCGACGTTAAAAGAACGAGTACATACGAGAGAATCGAACCTCGGTCATTCCCTCCATCTCTGTACTTTTATCCGACTCGCGATCGCTTTCGTTTCTCACACGACCGCCGTTTGCACGTCGAGCGTTATAGCCATAATCGTCGACTGGAGTCGCTTCCATTGATATGTCGTGGGGAAAACTCGACGGATATAAGACATACGGTTGAGAGAGATAATTGAAACGTGTGAAAAATCAAATGTACACATATCCTAATAAATGCCCACAAGATAAACGTAAATGATAAATCGTATTGTTATACAAAGAACGTGTAACGAGATACAAAGTCTCCGCTACGTGAAAGCGTTATTTCGATAGTAGCACACAATCTCCCCGTTTCATAGGACACGAAGCATTAAAAAACCTCGAAGAAGCCGAGAAAGAACACAAGTCCCTTTGGAAGAAAGTACATTCGTTTTAATAGGCCTCTTTAATAAGCGCTTCACTATTCAAAGCTCTCCGCCTGCAAAGCTCTCGTCGCTTCCTCGACTCGAGGGTTTCCTCGTTCGAAACGAAGAAAATTGCGCCACTTTGAAATAATGCTTCTGTATAATGCGCGCCGAGTGGATGCATCGAAATGTGCTTCCTCACGAAACGCGACAGGTCGAAAGTGGAAAATAATCTTTGTCACGCGAGCTTTCTCGTCCCGGAGTCAGAATCGCGTCGCGATCCGCCTTATCATACGACGAATTGCCCTCTTTTTATCCGCCGATCGAACTTGGAATTTTTGAACACCCTGTATACAATCATTACGAAAATCGCTATTATACATCGATATTATAGCTGCGATTTACGATCAAGCGAGATTTAGCGACGGTCGGGAGCTGATAACAGTTTCTAATCGGTAATCAATTTTTTTTCTTTTTGATAATTGCTTCAATTATTAGTTGTTTTCTCGAGATCATCATGCATCGGGATGACAATAGCGTTTGTAGTTGGCTCCATCCAAACAAGAAGCTTAACGTGATTACGGAAAGATAAAAAATTCTCGATCTGCTCATAATTTTCCTCTTATCTGTGCGATAACATATGTTTGCGCTTTTACATAGAGATATCTTTAACGTTGATTACTTCCTACTTGAATTTAAATATTCGTTTAATATCGATTTATATAATTCATTATAATTAATATATGATATATG